TAAGCAGATTTCGTTCCGAGTCCTAGGGTAGGCTGTGTGAACTATAGATTTTGGGTCTACTAGGATAATGTGGTCCTAAGAGTTCAAGAAACCATAGAATTTGTCAAATTTAAAATGGGGTGTCTACACATCTATCTAAGGAGCTCTCAAAAGGGACCCTCAAAGGCGGGCATAAACCAAGCTGGCCTAGGTCTACTATCTCGCTCTCTTCTTTCTCTTTATTTTCTCTCTTCTTTCTCTCTTCTTTCTCTTTGTTCTATTTCTATCTCTTCATTCTTTCTTCTCTTCTCTTTTTTGTTTAATTAAAAAGGAGGCTCATTGAGTTAGTGCCTTTTCGATAAGCTAATCCCACAAATTCCCTTCCCTCACCCTCCGGGTACCAAGGCTGCGACCCTATGACCTTCCTTTGTCTCTGGTAATACCTCTTAGGGGAAGTTACGCTAGAAGGCTGCCCAATTTGTGGGCCTCTTCTTTCTCTCTTCTTTCTTTTCTCTTCTTTTTTTTCTCTCTCCCTCTCCAACCCCAGTCACAGACCCACACCAAGGGCTGGTCCATCTTGCTCTTTCTCGTCGTTCTCTCTCTCTTTCTCTTTCTATCCGACCCCCGTCTGCCAATGGCAGGTCTATCTCTCTCTTTCTCTCTCGCTCTCTCTCTCTCTCTTCTCACTCTTTCTTTCTCTAACCCCGTCATGGACCTGCGTCAGGGGCGGGTCTGCCTCTCCCATCCACTCTCACACTCCCTCTTCAAGAGCTCTCTCGTTCTCCCTTTTTCAGTCTAGCGCGGGTCTATCTCCCCTTTCTCTCTCGTATTCCCATATGCTCTCTTCCTCACACACTCTCGTACACGGACCCATGGCGGGTCTGTGACATTCCATTTCCTCTCTCTCTATCATGTTTTCTCCCTTAGTCTTTCTCTCTTGTTCACCCTCCTTAATCTTCTCTCTTATCCATTCTCTTTGCACTTATCTCCTACTCATACAGTCTCTTAACCATCTCCTTCTTCTCTCTTATCTCATTTTTCCTATTCTCTCTCTTCATTCATCTATTCTTTCACACCCGATCATTAGAGTCGAGGCCCTCCTAAGAGAACTCCTTTAAAAGGGTTTTATCTCTTGGACTGCTCTAACCATCAGATCACATAGTGTTTTGGGTTGTAAGAGACTTAGATTCTCTTGTGCTCGGTCACTCAGGCTGGGGTCCTCTTGAGACCGTTTTCTTAAAAAGAGTGTTCACTGTTGGACTGCTCTAACTACTGGGTTGCACAGTGTTTGGGTCATGGGGGATCTCTATCATTCTTTCTCACTTACTTTCTCATTCTCTTCTTTCTTATATACTTTCATCTTATCTTCTTCTGCCTACTCGCTTAATTCTCTACTTTATTTTCTCACATTGAATTTATCTCTCTCGTCTCTTATAAATCTACTTCTCTCGTGCTCTATCTATCTTTCTAAACTCGGACAGCTCTCGTGAGGCTCTTCGAACGCTATTTCGTGATAGTCTGGTATTGCAGACCTCACTCTCCAGCTTCGGTAGTGATTTCTTGACAGTCTAGAACTACGGACGTCACTCTCTAGAATCCTCTGGAGTGCTCTTGACTTTGGTCTCGAATTCTATAAACCATTCCGACTTTCCGGTTACCTCCTTAGAGAGGGGACGCCGGAAGGATTTCTGAGTTTCAAGAGGCCTTCTCTTTCTTATATTCTCACTCCTTTCTCATAGCATCTTTTATTTCTCTATTCATCTTCTTCTTAGTTACTCATTAGGAGGATTATACGAAAGTGAGCTCACGATAGTCTAAATCTACAGACTGCACTCTCCCTTTGCGGATTTGAACTCTCCATGTACTAGAACGACAAACCACACTCTCCTGAATCTCCCAGGATATATATGGCCTCCAATTGCAGTATCTTTTTAGTCTTCGGTAATACCTCTTGTGAGAGGTGACGCCGGAAGGCTGTCCAATTTCTAGGTCAGTTTCCTCCTTTCCCTTCTCTACTTCTTCTTCTATTTCCACTCTCAACCCCCCTACCCTTAGACTAGACCCCCAATCTACAGCTGGAGAGCTTTCAAAATGATCTAAGAGGAAGAATTAACCCGACTCCTCCCTTGAACCCAAAACGGTGAGGTAGGTGCTCGAGCCCCGCTTTGTCGATTAAAATCTCTCTCTTTGTCAGTTCCGATCTGCATATCACACACACGCGCATGGGCCTCGTGGTTGTTTGAGAGATGATTCCTCCAATCGAGTCACCCATATCGGGCTTACACGGGACGATAAGAAATCAGGCTCAACCAGTCTTAACAACATGAAAAAAGCTAAAAACTATTAGATAATTATTAATTCAAATGTATCACCCTTATTGCATGGCTATGGAATAACATCTTACAGTGTTCATCCAAAATCATGACATCATACCACTCGCATCCTCGATAGAAAATAAAAATATCTTTTATTTTTTTTCTAACTTAGTTTTATTCTTCTAAAATATTTCTAGTTTTAAAATAAATTATTATTCATTGAAGAATGACAATTCTATTAACGAACCTCCAATGTCCAAAACAAAACGTGTCCAAAACAAAACGTGTCCAAAAAGGGATACGCCATTAGACAGTCCATAAAAGTGTCATACGCATATTTAGAAGTGTTGACACGTATATTGGTATCAACCAAAGTGTCTGCATGTGATCATACACTTAGTCACACATATCGATCACAAGGATTTATTATATATATAATGGTAATACAATGGTGTAATAAACAATTTCCTATCATGTTACATTCTGCTCTCAAAAGAAAAGAGTAACACACTTTTCCGTTAATACAACTTTATTTTTATTAAAGGTAGGTCACAATAACTTTTAATTATCATATATGAAATCCACCAACCCGAGGAGTATCACAAATCCTTTTTGTATTTTTTATTTTAAGAGTGGAAGGGGGTAGAGGATTTGATATTGGTTAATGGCAAACCACCATCCAATTATTTGACATCAAATAACCAAGTGTGATTATGACACTTTTTACAATGACCTTATATATGTTTTCCTATCGAAAAGGTTTTTACGATCACGACATCGACTTTTTGGGGATTAGAAGCTTTAATTCTCCTCAATTTTGAGGACAAATTCAACATATTTTAACTAAATAGTTATTTTAAATACTGTTTGAAAAACTGCCCGATTAGATTGAAATCGGCCCCTTGTCGATTTCGGTTTTGGGTAGTTTTGGTGATTGGTCGATATTTTAAAAATAAAAATTCAAAAAATGTCTATAAAATATCAAAAATAAGGAACTTAATTTGTAATACATTTTTTATGTTTTTATATTATGGTACATATTAAAATTTATTTTAGTCATCAATGCTCACTTTTAAAATCCATTTTTTCATTAATTTTCAACTTCATTTGAATGTGTTTTGTTTTAGTCACTCTTTATATGCTTTTCATATTTTAGTAGATTTTTTTTTTTGCATCTTTTTTATTTTTTTTCAACATTTTTTTGGCCGCCCGGGACTTGTTTGATTAGAACGGTTGAATCGGCCGGTTTACAGATTAAGCCGGTTTAATTGCTTCTGGCCCCATGTCCGGTTAACCGTTCCGGTTCGATTTTACGAACACTAATTTTAACCAAAGTTCTCAAAATTACTTCCAAAGTTAAAACACTAAATTTTCTCAAAGCATCAATCTCCTCTTGTTCATATTGTTTTTATCTTTTCATCATCTTCTCATATAAGGGCAATAATTGGATAGGGTTAATCCACTAACCTGACAGGCCAACCAGATAGGGTTCCAGGTGGATCGAAATATTGGAACCAATGACATGGATCTAGGATTGCATGACCAATACCTAACCTAGGGCGAGTCCTGGTCCATCTTGGATCTTTTTGGTTGGGTTGGATCCAATCAAAGTCAGCCCAACAGGACCTGACCCTAGTATGAATATATGGAGAATTAGGTATATACTCAAATGTCTATAGGAAAATATATTTTTCTTTTATTTAGACCTTGAAGTGAAGGCGAGTTGGGTCTAGATCCAGTGACAGATCCAACATGGGTCTAGATCCAGTGACAGATCCAGTGACAGATCCAACATAGGACTGAGACTAGTTGGGATCGAATTGGACTTGACCTTAACATTAACAGCTCTATCCCGAAAAAAAATTACCGTTTTAGAAAAAGTGCCCCACAGTCACAAATTTCATTTGTTATTTAAAGTCTATGGATGAAATTTAGGATTAATATGTCATTATAGTAGTATGACGAGGACTTTGTTTGTATCGAAAATAGCGTTTCAAGACCACATTGAAAATTTTTAGTACATTATGGCGAAAAGTTTTAGTACATTATGGCATTTTTTAACTCATAGTATAATTAAGTGAAAGTTTTTAATCTTGCACTACCCTAGAGAAAAGGTTCTCTATAGCTATATTGTGTTATCAATGGGAAATCTTCTTTGTCATATAAGGTTCTGAAATGCTCAATGGGCGATTTTAATGTATTTGCTTGCTAAAATACATAGATGACTCAAGCTGAGCAAGGTCTTGGCAAATGTTTGGGACCAATTCTAACTGTTCATTTGCCAAACAATTTAGCCTTTGAGCATGGTTTATAAAGAAGTTCAATTTCTCATCACGAGTTATGGCTGTATATGCATTCTTCAAGTCCTAATCATTCACAATAACATTAGTGACATTTGGACCCAATTGTTAAGGAAATATAATCTCTAACATGGAAACCATGAATATGGAAAAATAAATAAATTTAAAAATTAAACGTAATAATTTTGTAGATGAACCCTCATTTGCATCCATCTTTAAAGTGAACGTTTTATACCTCGGGGAACGTAAATGTGGAAACGCGGCCCTGACTCATGAAACAATTTTCCTTAGAATAATATAACTTAAAGAAAATTGTGAGACACTAAAGTTGTATCTAATAACTTTGATACAACATGTTTTAGACATAAGAGCCTAAATTTGAAAGTGAGAGGTCCCATATCCGTCATGGATCTTATCATCTTACACAAGCACATGAAATATCCAGCGTAACCAGTCCCACAAATGATTTGTGCTAATGAGGAAGACTCTGAAATTTTTCTCATTAGCACAAAAATGATAAAAAAAATTAAACTCTAATGTTCTACAAAGCATCCCCACAATGACTGATTATAGTGGATTGATGATAATAGGAGCTCCATGTTGCGGCCGTGTAGTAACCATCAATACAGGAGCATGGTGATAAGATGGAGACAAAAGTAGGCTGTAACGTTGGAGTATCATAGAGACAGCCAATTTACTCTCAAGAATAGCGAAGTTGAGGCCCACACACATGCGAGGGCCAAAGCCAAATGGTAAGAAAGCTATTGGGCTCTTTGCTGCATTCGTAATCCCTTGCGAAAAGCGTTCGGGTTTGAAGAGATGAACATCCTTTCCCCATTGTTGTGAGTCATAATGTAGTGCTAATGCTGGTACCACCACTTCAGTTCCTGATGGAATGGTAAGTTTCCCTAACCTTACCTCTTTCTTCAGTTGCCTACTTAAGACTGTGACAGATGGATATAGTCTCAAGGTCTCATTGATGATCATGTTCACCTGTCAAAAGAAATAAAGAAAAATCAAAAGGAAGACTAAATGATAGGCCATAGTCCAAGACCTTAGCTATTCCAAAACTTATATATGCAAAGCAAAGATTTTTTCTAGAAAAAGCAGTGAAAATATTTTATTCACATTAGTTGGACGAAATAAGGCATAATGTACAAAGCTTTAACTATGGAAAATAATGATTATGGGCATTTCATCTTTATTTCTCTTTCTTCTCTTTCAATTAAATTAGTGATTACCTTCCATAATAATTTTATAAAATTTTAATAATTGGTAATTAACACCAATATAGGTCTGCAAAAAATTCTTGAACAAAGCAACTCCGATATCTAGAATTTACTGTCATGGTGGTACCGGTGCGGGTTTACATAGAAAGTTCAATATACGCCAATCCATGGCACAAAGTTTATTATCAAAACCATATTATGTAAATTATAATATATTTCACCTAATTTAGTATTCCAAACGCAAGAAAAACCTTTTTAGATGTGTCTGGAAGTGTAAATTTGCAATCCTAGTCCACCCGATCCAATGCACTTTGAAATGTTATGGTCTATATATCTTAAGCCTGTGCACTAGGCACATGTTTTGAGCTCCAAATCAAAATTTTACCTAAATTACTTTTCTAAAGGCAATATTTGGAGTTTTAAATTTGATCTAGAGGTTTTTAAAATCCCAACCACTCTTCCCACGTAGACCCCAAAACCAAGTAGCTTTTTCTAGGTACGCGAAACTCTAAAAATGGAACTCTGGCAGGAGCAAACTATATACTTACTCTCTCAGGTAAAAGGCCAACTTTTAAATTTTTTGAAGTAAATATTAGGATCCACTTTAGAATCCACTGACGAGTATATAACAAAAAAAAATAAAAAAAAGGATTTTTAGTTCCAAAAAACTAAGATCAGTCATCGTAAGGTCATTGTCCAATATTTGGGCCTTAATTTGAAGCCCTCAAGCAATGGTAAGAATTTTTTTTTTTTTCCTTTTATCCATTTGAAGTTGGTAGCCAAGTTGAGGGGATAGATCCTTAAAATTTAGGGTTTTACATGAGTGAGTGAATGCTCAGTTTGCTCATGTGAGAGAAATTAGTCTTTTGACACTGAAGAATAATCAACTTTCTAATCAACTAAAGGGTGAGAGCAGTGAGAGCAAAATCGAACCGGATCGGTTCACCGGACATAGGCCCGGAATCGGTTTAACCAGCCTAACCGGTAAACTGGCCTATTCAACTGCTCTAACCGGAAAAATTCCGAACGATAAAAAAAGTGTTGAAAACAATAAAAAGAATACAAAAACAAATCCACTAAAATATGAAAAGCATATAAAGAATGAGATTAAAACAAAATACACTCAAAAAAAGTTGAAAATTAATGAAAAATAATGGATTTTAAAGAATCGATTTGTGCCTAGGGGTATTTTAAAATTTTTTTGAAAAAGATGGGCAAATATAAAAGTGAGTATCAATGACCAAAAAAAATTTTAATGTTTACCATAATGTAAATAATATTAAAATAGTATTAAAAAACATCAACTTGACCAACTCTTTTTCTAAAAGAAAATGAAAAAAAACTTAAGTTATATATAATAAAAGCACTTTTTTTTATCAACTAAGTAGTAGATGGTGTATTGGTTATTGGGTCTAGTAATAAAGGGCTTTTGTTTATCAACTAAGTAGTTTGTGCTTCTTTTTTTTATCAACTATATATAATATAGGCACTTTTTTGTATCAACTAAGTAGTAGATGGTGTATTGGTTATTGGGACTGATAATAAAGGTTTTTATTTTTATCAACTAAGTAGTAGATGGCATATTGAGCTTTTTTTTATCAACTAAGTAATAAATAGCGTATTGGGCTTTTTTTTTGGGCTTTTTTTTATCAACTAAGTCGTAGATGGTGTATTGGTTATTGGGTCTGACAATAAAGGGTTTTTTTTTTTTATCAACTAAGTAGTAGATGGGGTATAAAACGTAATCATCACTAACCAATAAACCATTCTAATATATTTGATATAAATTTAAAGTAACATTTTATTTAAAGTTTAAAATATCAATTGATCACCAAAACTGCCCAAAACCAGAACTGACCATTGGCCTGTTCCGATCTAACCGGCTGGTTAGCGGTTAGATCAGACAGTTTTGCGAACACTAGGTGAGAGTGAGTAAGGTGTCGAGAGTGCCCTTCACAAACTAGGTTGGGCTAGACATAGGGCCTCAAAACCTAGCCCAAGGCTCTGCTATGTTTTTAGTCCCCACAACTCAAGTCAGACCCAACAAGCCCCTTGTTTTTTCATGACCTTAGGTCTAGCCTATCAGAGGGCACCTTGCCTACATGGAGCCCTACAACATAGAAAGCCTCAAATAATGCCCATTTTCTTCTTTTCCAATTTCCATTGCTGTTAAACTTCTCTTGACACAATCACAAATCATGGTAGAAATTTCCAAATAGCTGTTGTAACATAAATCAGTTCTCCATATTCATAAAAAAGACAAAAAAAAATGTAGTTCATGGTGAAGAGGGGAGAGAGGTGTGGGGTCTGACAGGGATTTATGGTGAAAGTTTTGAAGAAGCTAGGGAAAATGGTGAATATTATTATGGTGAGATGTTTGATGTCACGGGGATTTGTCTTTATGGACCCTTTGTTAAGATGTTTACTGCTGTATGAGGGGACATTAAAAAGGCAAAGGATGCAGATGAGAAGCGTGTTGAGAAGAAGGGTGGAGAAGTTGCAAACTATACTTAATGGAAAGCTAAGAAGGACTAGAACAAGCAAGAATTTTCAAAATTGAGAAAACAAACAAGCGGTGATTTTCACTTGCGACAATAATATGGAGTGATCGAGAGTGAAGAATTTAGTGAAGGTGTTCGATAGCATGTCAAGTGATTTTTGTTTCACAGTGATTTTTGCTACAAATTTTTATTTTTATTTTTATTTATTTTATTTATTTTATTTTAAAAAATATGGGTAGATTTTTTTTTTTTTATAGGAACAATTTTTAAAAATAGGATTAATAAGGATTTTTTTGGTATAGTTTAATAAAGTCTAATTTTAAGAATTACATTTTTTTCTTAGAAAATTAAGTCGGTATTCTTTTTAGTTTAAATGAGTTGTAATCTTGTCTTAGACGGTAAGTCCGCTCTTAACCGTGGGTATGAACGTGAATAGGAATGTTTACATAGGATAAAAAATTTTATGGTTATCTATTAGAAATGAAGTGTTTTTTTGTTTTTATTAAAATGGAGATCCTTTAGGAGTTTAGGCTGATCTTCTGGAAAGTACGTGAGGTTAGAAGGTGAACATAATAGTAGGAAGTGGTTCGTTTTTGGAGAAAGAATATTTGGATCTATCTTTTACGGTATGAAGGAGTGAGCTGCTTTAATAGATACAGTTTTAAAAGCTTATCTTTTAGAAAAACATTAACGTGACTAGTTGGAAAGGAAAGTTGTAAAGGGTATTTAAAAAGGGAAGAGCACATTGTACACGATTGATTTTGATTTAATGAAACAAAGAAACTTTCTTTTGTAGAAAAAAAGGAGCCCTTTTGTGGATGTTATTTCTTCTCTTGAGTTTGTGGTCCATATCGGAATACTCGTATCCATGTATTTTGATCTTTTTTCTTGTGATTTTCTTCACAATTTTTATATCTCTCTCTTAAACGTGGTTACTTTTGCTGGTAATGTTTTCCATTAAATATTGTACTGCATTAGGTGGTATTAGAGTGCAATCGATTCTTGTGAATCGTGGTATTCGCCGATTGGCCTTATTGCTCGTGGACAAGGTCTATAGCCAGGCATTGGGACTCAACCCATCCAGATAAAACAAAACCTCTGAGATCTCTGAGAGAGGGAGAACAAAAGCTTGAGAAGGCAAGTAGAAGAGCTGACCCTGCGCTTAGCGCAAAAACCAGCTCTGACACACTATCATGATGGTAGTGAGTCAGAAGCTGCTTTCGAGAACCGTTCAATGCACACGCTCCGAAATAGGAGTCCCATGTTTGGGATAACAGATCTTAGGGTCTTTGTACTAAAGTTGATCTACCAGACTTTGCAGGAGGATTGCAAGTGGAAGAATTTATTGATTGGATTGATTATATCGAGCGCATCTTCGAATACAAAGATGTGACTGATGATAGGAAGGTGAAGCTCGTGGCTATTAAGCTTAAGGGAGCTGGTGGGAGAAATTGAAACAGACTCCGAAAAAGACAGGAAAAATCGAAAATCTCTTATTAGGAAAAGATGAAGAAAAGGTTGAGGGAGATATTCTTGCCCTTGAACTATACCCAGACGATCTTTCAATGACTTCATACCCTTCGGCAAGCGGGGCAGTCCGTTGATGATTATACTGAGGAGATCTATCAACTAGTTTTGCACAGAACAACTTGTCTAAGACTGAAGAGCAACAGTTTGCTCGATATACTGCGGAACTACACCCGTCAATCCAAGATGTCTTAAGTTTATACTCTCCTATGGACTGTATTAGAAGCCTATCAATAAGCTTTAACAAAAGAGAAGTAACAGACCAGGAGCATGGCTAGTGCAGCCACGAGCAAAGATTCTGGTCTCTGAAGATGCTAGTTTCAAGATCGTGGTGCTGAGCCAGAAGATTCACGATCTGGGGCCTGTAGAGATGTCATTGCAACACCGATTAATCTCCCTAATACTGCTGGTCCAGGTGCTAGAGTTCAGGGCAGCAGCTCAACTATCCGTTTTTTCATGTGCGGTGAGGGGGGTCACAAGGCTGGAGATTGTAGGAAGCCGAAATCTTGTTCTGATAAAAGGAAGAAAATCATGATTGTGGATAATAACCTAGATGATGCTAATGGGTATGACAATGATCCAATTTATGATGACGAGCTAGATGAGAATGATCTTGTCTATGGAGATGTTGGAGAGTCTGTAGTTATTCGAAAGAGTCTACTAACGTTTATGCAAGAAACCGAAGAGGATTGGTTAAGGACAAAACAATTTCACATCACCTGTACCAATGGAGGCA